TGGTTGTGGTTGTGGTTGTTGTTGTCATCCACCCGAGGACAGGAAAAAATTGGAGGAGCGCATGCTCCAAGAGCTGCGCGACAGCCGCTCGCTGCTCAAAGACTGCGAAACCCCGAATGAAGGAACGTTACCTGAACAATTTGTGGGGATATGTTGAGGCATACTCCTGAAGTATAGTACAACTCTCACGCACAGGCTCTTGGTCTTTCCTTGTATGGGTTACCCTGCCAGCACCTCCCCACGCCAGGTTACCATGTAGATCTAGGTAGCTCATTAATGAATATTGATTATGAGCTCTAACGGTAACAGAAATATATTTAATGGCAATGATTAACACAATGACGCGAAAGATCCAACAACTGTAGCTGCGGGTGTCGGTACAGCACATACTCGAGCAAAGCCCAGGAGCGACTTAAGCATACGACAAATCGTGCAGGGTTTTTTGGTTTAGAATGTTTGAAATCGCCCATTTCTTGGGTTTGTTGCTGTTTAAGCACCTCTTTTCCAGCTCGCTGAGTTGCGGGCAACCTTGCGAGGAATGGCAGTCGGAGACCTGTGCTGTTTTCGTGCGGCTGCTGAATCGGCCGCCAAGGCTTGGGGACTAGAACTTCGTAGCAAGACACAGTGTATCATAGGGTGTTGCCGGATTGAAGCCAGCCGTGCGACATGATGCTAAGCACGCCGGTGGGAGGGGCATATGGGGAAAAGCAGCTAGCGAAAGCTGCGTCAAGTCGCGGAAGACCTGAGCATTTTGCATAGGTCGGCTGCAGACACGGCTCGTCGTATGGTTTCTGCTGTGCTTCCGGAAAGTAAGCGACAGGAGTCTGCAAGTTCTAGGACATTCCGTGTCGCGATATTGACTCCCGAAGTTTTTTCCATCCATTTTGATCTTGACGACGTTTCGTCGGAAGAGGAAAGCAGAACAGTGTAGCTGCATTTCCGTACAACGTTTCGTGGGCCCATTCGTGGTGACGGCTGGCCTTGACCAACAAATAACCGAACCGGCGAACCATCAGAAGGGCTTACTCCTGGAATCTCAATCTTGGTATGAATTCCAGTCCGCCTCGCTATCCGTTACCCGTAGAGGATGGTTTTCCCCTCGAGATGAAGCCGGTCCAAGACGAATTGCCCAGATGGAGTGCGCCACAAACTTGCTGCGGCCAGTAGGCGAGTAAAGAATCTTCAACAGATGAGTTCGGACTTATCATAAGTTACACGACGAGTGACAGGACGATGACTGCTCACAGACGGTTTTTGACGCTTCCTGCTGCCGGGCAGAAGCCGTTTGTTCTTTTTGAGTGTGTTCAACCTCTGTGTGGCGTGCAGCGATTGTGTTTCGCTTTTGATGAATGAAAGTTGTCGGGTTCAACGGTCGGAAAGGCATAAGCGATGGCAAAGTGTGCAAGGGACGCATGGAGATCAAATCAATGCCGGTCCCACGATTCACATAACTTTAAGCAACTTCGCCAAACCGTCGATTCGGCTTTCGCATCTGAGAGCACAGTAATTCCGACAGAGAGTTGTGGCGCATAGCCCCGACAAGCAACCACTGGAGGTGATGCACAGCGGCAGGAAGGGGAGAGATCCTATAGCTCGATGTGGTGCATTCGCGGATGTCCACCTGCGCACGGCACCGCGCACTTGGAGGCCCGGAAGCGTGGGTTGAGAGCTTTGAGCTTGACGGAACCAAGCGACATGTTTCCTTTCAGTTCTACGACTAGGAACAAAGACTGAGAGATACGAGGCATCTGAGAAGTTGTTCCTAGACTGTATGTTTGAATGACCCTATTCTAGTTGATTAGTCGCCTGCCAGTTCCATTCGAGAAAGCTTTGGTTGAAAGTGGGGGAGAACAACAGTTTGCAGCATCAGGGGTTAGGGTTTAGGCTTTAGGGTTTAGGACAACTTCGTGCGCATGTCACGGTGCGCAGTGGAATCGTGCAGCGGTGCTGCGAAAGAGGCATGCCCACACCCAGCATTAGAGCAAAGCACCTAGCCCCCTTGGTTATACTAGTTACTAGTTTAGACACCCAGGCAACTCATGAACGAGAGGGACGAGGTCATAGCAACGTTCGCCTCCTTGTCCGTGGAGCTACAGCAGGTGGTTGGGCGTTGACATATGAAAGATATCAAGGGGGTAGGATGTATAGGATTAAGTTGATGGAGTATCTAAACTTCCGCACACCACAGGCCGGAACGTAAAAGCCCGCGTGCCTTCGTGCGCAACAGCTTTTTTCTGATTGACGTGCAACTTTCTTCCGACGACTATGGGCTTGGTAGGCACTCGTGTGCTAGACTAAAGCATATTTCAACCCACAACGAAATGACCAAAACAGGCTGTAGCTCTAATCCGGTACATTTGGGCAATCAGAAGAGTGGCATGATCTGATTCTGCTCTAGCTGGATTGTAAGTCACGTTGGAAAGTCAAAACACAAGCCTGGCGTGTCTCTCGCATTCACTGTATATTACTGTACACTCTATACAACAAGCTCGACTTGCAATATTCGGAAATCACTCGTTGTATAGCACACAACACAGCCTCGCATTGTGGAATGAATGCCAGTTCAACTTAGTCTCTGTGTCCGGTGTCCGGATGGTGCTTGCGGTTCCAAACCTCCAGCTCCAAGTTGCCGAAGAAGGCTTACTGTTTAGACTCCCATTTAGAGTACAGGGCTTGGGTGATTTAAAAATCCAGGAAGGCCCAAGTTGCAGAGATTAAATTACTTGTCGTGAAATGATCTCTACGCAAATAGGGCACACGCACCAAGCCGTTGTACATATAAACACTCGATCGTGCAGGGGTGCGTAGCGTTCAGCTTCGACCAAAGCTGCAGATCAGCAGGCTTTAAGCAATGCTTGTCAGGTGGACCGTGCCTTATTCCGGCCGGGGGTCAGCCGGTGCCTTGCCTGGCTGACGATGAGGGATCGATAAAGCTCTAAACCCAAAGCCCTCAAGCTTGAGACTGTAAAAAAATACGAAATAACAGGATCAACATAATACGTCACAACTTGTGACTTTAAATGTTGTTAAAAAATCATCATGATAACTAATTATGTTTATGATTTTTTATGATTCTGGTATCATGTGCATTTATGAAAAACTTTTGATATACTTTGGTTATGAGTCTACTATGATTCTACTATGATCTTACTATGAAAAATATGCTCGAAACTATGAGAAATTGATGAAAATATAGGAAAGTTCTATGAATAAAATATGGGCTTTCCAAATATAGAATATATTACAATATATTACAAAGGAAACCATAGTGAAATCATAGAGAAATCAAAGTGAGATGATAGTGGAATCATACTGTAGTCTGCCAGGAGCCACTTTCCAGTTCATAAATGGCCGACCATATTGAAACCATATAGAAACCAAAAAATAAGTATTAATGAAAACAAGTTCAACCAACATAATAAATCACAGCCCTAAGTGGGCCGCGACCTCAACAGCGCATGCTTGCTATACACATGACACAAATCTGTGTTAAGTGTGTCTTATGAATTAGGATGCTATGTGTCTGCATGTTCCTTATCGGGGGGATTTCGTGAGGTTTTGGACATGTTAGGTTTGAAGATGCTCGAAGCATTTCGGTCGTCATGGCTTGATGTGGACCCCTGATGCATACGCGCCGCTTTTCAGTTTGAGATTCTTATCGTCATCCCAGTCAACCGGGCTTGCAGTACTCAAACAATGAAGGCACCTGAAATCACCTAACTGCCCTGAAACCCTAGAGAATCCTAAGGTCTTTTAAAATAGCCAAATGCCCTTGATAAGCCTGATGTTTAGCATTGTGTTGCAAGGGTTGGGTTTTAAAAAAAGCAGGGGATCTGACTATTTCGGGTCTGTGTCAGGATGCCTGATTTTGTGAAATTTGCATATCGGTTTGGAGCTTGTGCTGGAACTTGAAAGCACTTTCAAAACACTTGGTCGTCGCTGAGGATCGCGCCTCCTGAAAGTATCGTTTCCCCAGCAGGCCTTGCAGGGAGCACATGTGCGGGAACTCTGATAACGGTTCAGTCAGTGTGGACTTCTTGTTGTTGACTTAATTAACCGTCAACCCCGAATCCCAGGACGCTGATAGGCCCATGAACAGAAACTTTACAGTCCAATCCCAAAGCCGTAAACTCAAGGCCAAGTTCCACACTTGAAGGACCATGCAACTTCGGTTTTTTCACGGGGTTATCAGTATCCGGATTGTGTGAATGCGTTCAGAACCGTACTCATAAGCTATTCCCCTTCAGGTAGAACGCCGTGCCTAATCCCCTGTGCAACACTAAACATTTCTTATTCGTTAGGGCCTTAAACCCTAAGCCCGCAAGCCACAAAGCGTGAAGCCATACCCGAGGCATTTAATAGAGCAACCCCTATCACTGTAGCAACCGTTTTTAGGTACCATATAGTCCCAGCACCCGAGACCTTCACCCCTCAACCTGCATAGAAACCCTGTGCGGAACCCTAAACACCAAACGCCCCCTACAAGACCTATAAACGCCCTTTAGGGTTTAGGGTTTAAACGCCCTAGAAAGCCCTAGCGTTAGAGATTGAACTCTTGGATAGCCCTACATAAATCGACCCTTGTAGATCTCCCTCTGAAAAACAAAGAAGGAACCCTTTACCGCAAGCCTACACCCCAGGGGCATAGGCATGCCCACAGCCGGCATCGTGCCACCCAGGCTCCTCCAGAGCTCCCTCCTTCGGCTCTCTGCTGGAGGAGCATGAGGAGTCGGTCGGAAAGGATCCTCGCATTGTATTGTCCCTTCCGGGAGGTGTTGGGTGGCTGCCTTGATAATGTGAAGGTTGAGAGTAATGTGTTGTGTTGTCATGGAGTCGCTGTGTGGCAATCGCTGCGGCCTAATGCCCCAGCATGCCCAAGCCTAATCATGATCCCGGTCTATGGTATATGTGCGTGTTCAAGGTGCACTTGTTTATGTTCGTGTACAGTTGTTTCTCGTGTGCGGGTCCGGACATTTGGAGCTGTGGGTGATTGAAGGCTGGGTCGTTGGCATTGGTTCGACGTTATGAGGTGTGGGGTTTACTTCGTTCGGGCGGTAGATGTTTCCGGTCACGGGGTTGCAGGCATTTCTGCTCGAGGAATTAGGACTCAAGGTTGCTATGCGGATTCGGGCCATTGGGACCTAAGATTGGCGCGGCCTCTGCGCAGGAGCGCCACGACACGTCGTCCCCGTGGGGCATTTCATTCCTGGTCCTGTGACTAGGATGCATGTGAGCAGAGTTTCCCGAAACTCGCATTGGGGTCCATGTCTTGCTTTGAGCGAGGGGCCCTTGGACTGACCAGACAACAACAGCCGCCCTCCTGTCAGCAGGCGGGACATCGCAGACGACGAAAGCTCCGCGGAGGGTACCTCGCTGGTCGTGGCGTAAAAGCATCGCAAGGCAGACTTTCTCACTATTCCAAGTCCAGTAACTAAGCATTACTTCAATTCCACCCCCCTCGCCGATTGTAAGCTCAGCTAATCTCCGGTTCTTAACCCCATAAAATCTCTGGAGTGCCCAACCCTAGAGTGTCTTAGCCTAGAATGTCTTGGAAGCCGTGAAGTGCCCAACCCCAGATCTGTTTTTCCCGAGCCCGACCAAAAGCGCCAAGGAACGAGATTGATTGACTCCTCTTGTCGATGGATATTGTCATCGTATAATAAGATTAAGGCCTGGCTGGGCGAGGTGAAGTGAAATAAACTAACGAAACTAAGAGGCCAAGTGAAACTAACACCTAAACCCCGAACCTCAAACCCTAAACCCTAACCCGCGGAGTGTCCAACTCCAGAGTGTCCCTGGACCGCCCAACCCCAGAGTGTCGTTGCCCACTACAGTACTTACCACGTACTATAGCTACGACTTACTGCCCCCTCACTGTTACCTCAAACGTGCTTCCTCCTGCCTGCTACCTGCTATTTACTTATAACTATGCTGCCAACTACCACCTGCTATCTGCTACCTACTCGCCACCTACCACTTGCCACATACGGCCTACGACTTACTTATTACTACTTACTACGTCTTGCTACGGGCCATTTTTGCTTGCTACTTGCTCCGAGCCACTTACCACTTACCAGTGCTCCCTGCTTATCACCGGCTACTTACTGCTTCTCAATATGTACAGTACTACATATTACATACTGAACGACTTGCTTCTAGGCTTTCCAATCCGGGTCCAAGCCTGATCCTTGAGAACTGCTTTGGGCATGCCGACATGTGTTGGTTGCAGGTACGACGGTAGTATTCGCAAGATCTAAGAGTCATCGTTCAGCATCCTTTGTCGTCATCATGATCGTTATCACCACCAGCATCATAACCTTATCAACAGCATCATCGTCACCACTGGCCGCAAACAACAACAGTAGCAGCAACAACAACAACAACAACATCAACAGCAGCAGCAACAACAACAACGAAGGTTGTTGACACTGTCATTAGTAAGGAACAGCACACGGCAGATGATGAGATTCCGCTAGCCGTCCTTTCATGCAGATCTAATCCTCCAGGCTCAGTCGTTGAGAACAAGAGTGACTATCCAGAGCAGAGTTTCCTCAAGGTTCAACGCTCCAGCTTCTGTAGGTTGACGGGTTAGGGGTTCATATCGTGGCGTCCCAGTGACAGAACCCGGAGCCCCCAAAGTCAGAGTTGGCTTGTCTGCAGCCGTTTGTGGAGCAAAACGCGATCATCATATAGTTCATTGGGCAGTCCATTCAGTTCGCAATGTTGCGCCCTGATCATCTGTTTCCGCACGACCTGACGTACGCGCATCCTCAGGATTTCGGGTTCAGGGTCCGTGTAGGGGGCTCCGCGAGTGGTTTTGACATCAGCCGAAGCACAAGTGAGACTCCATAAATCCCAAGTGCAACACCGTCAAACCCTCACCAACACCTCAGACCTTGAAGCCAGCAAGGGTGTCATTCCAGTTTGGCGACGTTTGGACAGCTTACTGGGGTTCTGACCCGCCAAAGTCTTCTTCCTAGAGCCTGGTGCCGAGGGACTTTGAGCTTTCAGCGGTCCGCCGACTTTTTGACAGCGCAGTTTAGGGGTTTTAAGGTTGAAAAGAGTAAGGCTAAGCCCGTAGATCCGTTCAACCTATGTTGACCAGCCAAAGTCTAATGCCGGGGACTGAGGTCCGCAAGTAATTTCAGAATTTCCGAACTCGTAGACCATGAAGCTCACATCCCAAACGCCCCAAACGTGACTGAAAGACTCAGTCCAAAACAAATGTGTTTGTCAAAGCCTAAACCCGAAACCCTGAAGTCCTACACCCGAAACCTACAGGACTTGTCGCGGAATGTGGAGGAGTTGCAGCACGGGCCGAAGGACGGAGCAGCGAGCAGCTGCAAACTTCTTCCACGTGCCTTGGGGCCCTCCAGACCTCGAATCCACTTCAGGTTTTAAGGGCTAAGGGTTTAGGGTTCAGGTTTAGGAGGTGTTGGTTCGTATTGAACTATTGCTAGTTTTTTTTGTCGATCTCCTGTGGGGTGCAAGGTTTAAGGGCGTCTCCGGCTCTCCAGTCTTGGTTTCAAGGGGCACAGAGTTCACCCAGCATGCCCTGAGGTGGAGAACATGCCCGTCCCACAGATTTGTGCCATGCTGAAGACGGACGCCGAACGCGGCCTTACCGAGGATGCCTTAAACTCCAGAGCACAACTTAACCGACTTAACCCTTAAACTCCAATTCCGCCATGAATGTTAAGCCTTTCTGGGATTCAGGGTTTGAGATCAGAGGATTTTGTCTTCTGGATTTCTGAAGTGAGCTCTTGGGTTCATGGTGTTATCACGGCTCAGGCTCTTCATACGAGGGCATGCGAGGCTTTGTGAGAGTGCGAGAAGAAGCTTCTACGAAGCTTTACAGAAGATGAGTTTGAAAGCAGCCTGCTTGAAGGATGGACCAAGGAGGATTAGAAAGTCGCGGGTTACCAAGGGGATACTCTTGTTTGTGTGTGTGTGTGTGTTATATATATATATATATATGTATACACATAATAACGTGGTAGCCACTTATGCGGACTTTCAACAAAAAAAGGGTCCAAATCGACCCTGAAGCCCAATCATGTGCTGGACCCCGAGGCCGTAGAACTGCCCTCAACTTTAAACTTGAATGAAGACTCCAGCGCCTTAGTCTGGTGTTGAGGCGGCCCCCTAAACCCTAAGCACCCTATGTATTCTGAACGTGGAAGCGGCCCCGAGACCATCCGAGCCCACTTACCATGGGTGAGGAGATGGCCTGCGCTCGACTCGCGAAGGACGGCCCGAATCAGCTGCAGCAGCTGCCGAGGCGCGAGATGACGACTTCGGGGTTGTCAGGGGTGCTCAGGGTTTATCGGGGTCCAGGCTTTGTTTAGGGTTCCTGTCGGATGTTGGGTTGTACCTGAGGTCTTTGAGGCTTTTCAGGCTGTTAGACGGTTCTCTACCGGGCATAGCATAGAAGGGATCTGGGGTTCAAGGTCGGGGGTTTCGAGAGGGTTCGGGTTGTTAAGGTCCAAGCTTGGATTTAAGCTTCAGGGTTTGGTGTCACGAGTCTTCGGGCAAGCACAATGATGTTTAGCAACCGGAATCCTGAGCCAGTGGCAGTCGCGGTGGCCTGTTGCAACCATCCTGATGAGAATGTTGCTGAATTGTCATAGTCGTTTTAGGGTACAAAACAGTCTACGTAGAACCTACTTGCGAAGTCGCATGACCCTTTGAGTAGGAAGCACGGTTCGATTTGAAGGGATGTTGGATGACGTGGTGTTAGTTTGTATCTCTGGCATCAAACTGTACCGTGGGGCAACTGAGGGAAAAAAGCAGCGTAGTTTTCGAGGCCTGCAGGGTTTTCAAGGGCGGCCATGTTCCAGCTGGCGTGCATATAGTACTACCGGGAGTGCTGATGACAAGCAGTTTTTAGTTTTGAGTTTTCAGTGGTTCGGTTTTGTCAGAGGACCGTCCGGCTCTGCAAGGAATTGAGAGGCTGAGGGTGAGGTTTCAACGGGAGAAACCCTGAGCTCCAGACCAACAGTAGTGTTCCCACTAACGGGGTTCAGAAAACACTAACGGGCTTAGATGAAGCACCCAACCAACAAAGTCCCAAAACCCACAGGCCGATACAAAGTAGCTAAGGCGAGAGACCGGGTGTTTTCTAGCGTTTTTGGCCACCGGGGTCTGGGCCTTCCTTTACAGGATTTAGTAAGCAGGAGTTAGGATTCAAGGTTGGCTTAGGATTCAGGGTTTTGGGTTTGGGGGTTGCGATTCTAAAGGTAAGGCTTTTAGGATTTGGGGGTTTTATTGCTGAAGGTTTCAGAGCCTGCGCCAGGATGTCCGGCGAGATAATGGAGATGCAGAGTTTGCAGGTGCCACTACCTACTGAGGGGCGTGAGTGTATTTTTGAGATGATAAAAACTTCTCTTCCGGGCCTTCTAAGGGGGATACTACTGAGAGCGTTTGTATTGTGTGTGGGGAGTTCATACAAGACCTCTTGGATTTGGGTTCATTCTTACAGCTCCCTCCACAACTCCGCGACGACATTTACATTTAAGGCTCACCCTGGGCTTTGCTTCGCACTTACATGGGTTTGTCTCGTCCACAGACAGGTTCTTTTTGTCCTTGCTCGCCGGCATCTCCGCTCTTTCTATGCTTCAGACCTTTCGTGATCCGGTCGAGCTTGCGGTTGAGGTGAGTGGTGCACAATGTATCTGACATGACCGTCAGGTCCAGGGACTGTATAAGCCTCCCTCCCCAAAGTGGGCTCGTAATCCGTTTTTGGGGTGTTCTAAACCCTAAGTAAGCCCGGCCCTAAACCCTAAACCCTGAGCCCCAAACCCTCAAGTGCCCAGTGTAGACCCTTACGGGCTTCTACTCGTGCGGAATCGCCATGTGCTAGGCCCGCTTGCAGAAGGAGATCGAAGCTAATCTCAGGCCACCGGTCTGCACTTCAGGGGTTTGGCAGCACGGGCCATGAATGTTCCAGCTTTAAATCTCTAGTCTGGGCTGAGTCAGCATCATGGTTTTTCTCAGCTTGCTTTCCATCGTCATGCAGACACAAGTCTGCTCCTTCTCAGCGTGTCTTCGTAGCTTGCTTTTCCTCAAGCCTCCTGCTAAACACTCATAAACTCGCTTTCCGCTGCTCGATCCTGCGGATCCGTTGCAGGGTGGAGCTGCAACGCTTTGTCGTGGAAGAGCTCCAGGCGTCGCCAAGCGTCACTGGCACTGTGGTATTCAACATGTTCCTTGTTTGATTTTGGGCTTCTTCAGTATATTCGGCACAATTATCTCGTCGAGATGCTCCCCTTCGGGCACTCCATGGGGTCGGACCAAGGTTGTGGTGGACCTATGGAGCACTGAAGGAGCCCTGAAATAGATATGATATAACGTATATATCTACACATACATACATACATACATACATACATACATACATACATACATACATACATACATACATATATATATACACACATTCATATATATATATATATATACACACACGTTTACACAAGTTTACTATGCTATACGAACTTATTTTGCATGGCTTAGGGCTTTGTGCCATGATGTCCAGACCCATTGGCACTACTGTACAAGAGCAACAGTGCAGTCGCCGAAGCAGGTGCGACGGCTCAACGAGCTTGAGGCCCTCCAAAAGGAGGCGGGGCCAAGGAAAGGAGCATCACTACGTAACGCTGTTCCTCAGAGTTCCGGGATATGATTTCCGTGGGATATACCCCCAAGTCCTATTGAAAGTGTTACGGCCCCTCCGGACCAGACACATACGTACAACACTATATAGACGCACGTACACATGTTTGTATACACACGCTGTTATGCCATGTTCTTATGTATGTACGCCTGTATGTATGTATGGATGGATGGATGAAAGCATTCATGTATGTATAACCAACCGCAGCAGTAGCCACACTCGCCGAACTCATGTGCATTCGTTGTGTAGCTTGCTGCAGAGTCCATGAACCCCTACTTCAGACGCCTGAGAAATCCTAAAACTCGAAACCTTAAATCCAAGACCCTTCAAGCCCTAAAGCCTATACTCCCAAAGCCGAAACCCCGAAGACCCCCAAAGCTCCAAACTTGGATCTTACCTCAGGACAGCAGGCACAGCGCAGATATCGATGCGCTCCGAGATTAGCTGGCATCTGCCCTCGAGGCCTTCTGCGATTTGTCATATGGGTGTGGGGGTGCAGTGGGGGGGGGGCCCGTGGCACGCATGCGTTCGCGTTGGCATATGCAATGTGCGTGGATATGTATAGATAGGTAGATAGATGGATGGATAGATGGATAGATAGATAGATAAATGGACAGATAGATAGATAGATAGGTAGATAGATAGATAGATAGATAGTATAGATAGTATAGATAGTGATGTTTGTCTGGCTAGCAGAATACGTGAACCTGGTAGTTACGATATGATATGGTTTGGTATGGTATGATGAAATATGATGTACTTATAAACGCTTCGCGTGGTCCGCCTCATCCGGCCACAAATAAAGAGGGCCGGCGAATTGCTCAGCTGCTTCTTTAAGGCGTCACTTGCGCACCGGACGCAGCAGGAGTTCGGGGAGGTGTCCAGCTCGCCAAACCTTCATCACTTGACCTTGAAGCCCGTGAATGGTCCAAAAGGAAAGGGGTGGGGTCAGGTGGCCGGGATAAGGGGATGTGGGTCGTTGGGGAGGGGAATAAGAGGAGGGGGAGCAGGAGTGCCGCACAGAATTCGATGGCATCTCTTCGAGTGCTCAGAATGGCTTAAGATAGAAGGCAAATTCAATCCCGTCAATAGCAAAGGCTCAGCATGAAACTGCGCAAATTTTCATATGCATTGCAAGAGGTCCCATGCTATGTTAGGTCACTGCATGAGAAACCTTTGCGGTCGGGCTTGTAGGTTTCACGTTCAAGTTTAAGGTTAGTTTACAGCTTATCTCTTCGAAGAAGGCGTTTCGGGTTGTAAATCTGTTGGCGCATTCAGAGAGCGACAGGGCCATGAAGAGCGGGTGTGGGTGCTTTGCTCGAGATGCTGACGAATCTTAGACTTTGGAGCACCACCGGACCATGCAGCACATTGCTGCGGAGCTTCCACATTGGTTCAGTTGTTTGAAAGACGTGGTAGTGGCAGCGTATAGACGGGGTGGCGTGCGCACCCTGAGCAGCGTCAGAAGACTTGAGGATGCTGGAGGTGAGCACGAGCGATGGGCAGACTGAGAAGAACAGAATTTCAAATTTCGGAAACTCGCACGTGACGTGAAGCGTGGATTCTAGGGCACTAAAGGGTAGCAACATACCTTAGGTTTAGTGTTCCTTGGTGACGAGCTTCCTGCACCATCTGAAGACAGGCTTGCAAGCTTGCAAGGGGCTAGGGGATATCGGACAATCGCATGCTTGCAATTTCATGGGTACTTATAAGTCCTCTGGTATGGGTTATGATTATAGCTCTCGGACTTATAACGGCCCACTTACAGCTGTACATGAACCTCCAAGAGCGGCTGGATAGACTCTGAGGCTTGACTCTTTATGTCCTGCGCAGGTTTGAGAAGTCAGATCCGGAAAAGCGACCAGACCATCTCAATGCTTGTTGTTTAGGGCTTGTGGGGTTTAGGGTGTGTTTCCGGTGCCTGGCCGAGAAATGAAATACATTGTTAATCCCGTCCCCCTAATATTAAACAGGGAGGCCCCCCCCTCATTCAAATCTCAAAAAGCGTCTTTATGATTAGGGTGTAGTTCCATCTCTACTGTCACACTGTCACATTCATTGGGGATGATCTTGCTCCTGCTCGAGCTCCTGCTGTGGCTGTTGCTCCTCTTCTTGCTCCAGTTCCTGTCGGGGCTCCTCCTCTTGCTCCTGCTTCTGTCGGGACTCTTGCTCTTGCTCCTGCTCTTGCCGTGGCTCTGCTCTTGCTCTTACTCTCGCTCCTGCTTTCGCTGTTGTTCTTGCTCCTGCTCCTGTCGGGGGTCTTGCTCTTGCTTCTGTTCCCGCTCTTGCTCTTGCATCCCCCCCGTTCCAAGCAGGTTGCAAAAGGCGCTGCTGATTTCAGTGCGATTTCCCGGAAAGTGTTTTTTCATTATGAGGGGGGTGGGTGGGTGTTCAAGTGGGGAAGGGATGATTATTGCTGTTGCTGCTGCCGCTGTGTTGCTGTCTGTTGTTGTCGCCGCCTGACTGTGTTGCTGGTAGTGTTGCTGTTGCGGTTGCTCGTGTGGTAGTGGAACTGGTCATGGTTCTGGTTGTGGTCGTGGTAATTGTTGCTTCTGCTGCTGCTGCTGCTGCCGCTGCTTGTGGTTCTGTTGCTGTTGCTGTTGTCGTTGTCGTTGCGGTAGCTGTTGCCGTTGCGGTTGCGGTTGCGGTTGCTGCGGTTGCTGATGCCGTTGGTGTTGCTGTTGCTGTCATGTATGACATGTACATTTTCAGGCTGACAACTTCTCCTTGCTTCAGCAGTCAGCTGTTGCGCACTGGCACATCCTGTCTGGGACCACGCATTAATTTCGCGCTGCAGGCTCCAGCAGACGGTGCGATGTCTCTTGCGGAGGCGGCGAAGAGGGAGCAGAGTCCACCCGGTGACATTTCTGTGCCATGCTGGGTAACGCTCGAGCCTGCAACATGCCTGCCGACAAGCCGGAGCATGGGCTCATCTCGCCCACTTGTTGCCCGCAAAATGAAGCAAAGAGACGCCCTCCCCGTGTTTCAGGAGGCTCCGAAACTGTTGGGGGGGGGGGGGGGCGGCGGCTTTGTTGTAAGACCCCCAAAGCCCGATGCTTGTTGTGTCTTTCGCAACTGCATGTTGATCCGAATCTAGAGCAAGCTGCGGCAGAGTTTGATTGCAACTGTTCTCAGGTGAAGGGTTGAAGATTTAGGGTTGGGCCTAGGATTTAAGGATGCAGGTGCAGAAAGTGCTGCTCCTGAGAAGTGGATCTTAAGCCGGAGTATCCCGGGCTGACAATCCGGGCTGGGGCCAGATTTTTGGAGTTGCGTTCCTACTCACAGCAACATGCAATGGCCGAGAGTGGAGCAGCCCCGAAAAATCCCGTTGTTGAAAAGCTCTTCTTTCCAATTCGAGGGAACTGGGGCGGTCTTTATTAACCCTCGCAAATTATGCTAGCAGTTATAATGTATCCCATGCACAGAAATTATCGGCCCAGTAGTGTGAAAGGTGTGTCTTTGTCGGCTCAATTCAGCTATAGTGCTTTGAGCCGGAAGCAACCCTGTGAGATTTTCGCGCACTGCTCGCATCTAGGCTGTATGAGGGAAATACTTCCGCTGCCACAGGCCTCGAAGCCCCTGCGGCTTTGCAGCAATCTTCCGAGAACTGGCCGCAGGCGCCTCGTGTGGAGAGAGCAGTTTTCAAGATGCGCAGCACTTGCTCAGAGTCCATTTGCGGCGCGGGTTTCCATTTTGGCAGCTATATCAGAAAACACATGCGATCTTGCAGGCTCAACTCCCACGTAGCGCCTCCCACGTAGCGCCTCGAGCCCAGGAGCTTCACAAGGCATTCCCTCCCAGGCACCCTAGAAGGCCCTTTCATCAATGCTGAGCCTGGAGACCTTCCCAAGCCGAGCCCTTCCCCACGAAAGAAGACACAACTTGTTACAACCACACAGCCTCACAACAGCCTCTGTCCCCTGAAAGCTTTTCACCGGATTTTCGTGCTCGGATGCGCCATCCAAGGGGCCACGGAGAGACCGTTTTTAGAGCCCATCTTTGGCGCGATGTTGCTGCTTGCGAGTCCCGGCATCATGGCAATCTCCGTTGCCGCCCACATGAAGAGCCTGTCCCAGCTGTTGCATGACCACATGCCCGTCGACGAGCTGGACCCAGCCAGGAAAGAAGCACTCCTGGAGCAGCACATGTTCTTCTCCAACCTCCTGCTCATGGGCATGAGTGTTTTTTCCCTCATTAAATGTGCGGCTGCCTTTGTATCGATTTTGGTCGGGCTGCCAGGTAGCGAGAGTATGCACCCTCTGCTGCTTTCAGGTTGTGTTTTCTTGCTGGTGCTCTCCTTCTTTCAGCTGAGCTATGGTCGCTTGAGCGTAGCACGCATCCAGCTCGTGGCGCTCTTGCTGCATCTGAGCATCCTCTTGCGCGAACTGCATCCGGACCTGACTGATGATACCTTGGTCATGGCCTTCAAGGTCACAGCCGGCTTGGCCCTTATCAATCACCTGCGGGCACTTCAGCTCCAGATCAGCTTCCTGTTCGTCAAGGTCGTGTACCTACGCTCCACCTTCACCACTGCGATGTTCGTCGACGAGATATGCGCGATAGTCCTACTCTGGGTTACATGGTTCGCTGTTCAGACTTGCCAGAAGCAATTCCTGCTCATGACGCAGAAGATCGCGGATGCCAAGGCTTCTTTGGAGGCCGTACGAGCCATGTTGGCGAGCCAGTGCGATGCGGAGGCTTGTTTGAGCTCGGAGCTCGTTTTCCAAGACCCCACCTCGAAGTTGGCCCATTTTCTGGGTTGCGAGGTGGAACAGCTCCGGTCCCGGTCCTTCGACGAATTTCTCGTGGAAAGCGACCGGCAGCGGTTCAAGTCCCTCATCGGGTCCTCGGTGCATGCTTTGGAACTGGAGTTTGATCAACAGGGTCAGGATCAGGCCGAGAAGCCGAAGCAGCACCATGCGCTGGCAGCCGCGGTGACTTTGAGTGGAGCATGCCGGCAGATCGAAGTGAACTTGCGCCTGTGCTGCGTGCCGGCTGCAGAGTTCAATGACCGCTTCTTCCTCGTCGCACTCAACGTTTCCCAAGATCGGGTTCCCGATTTTGAGAGCTTGGATCCGGCAGCCATCAAGGAGAGCGAGGGCGATTCCACAGAGGAGCAGGAGCCGCCCGCTGGAACTCACACAGATGGCACAGGCTGCAACTTGCAGCTGCAAGCCCGTAATAAAGATGACAACAATGCCTTCAACTCTGTATCAGTCACTTACATACCTACTTGGCATAATTTGTAGTTTCCCTTGTTGGCTTATAGACTATGGAGCCCTATAAATGCAAGTGCGGCCATCGACACCCAGCCTAGGTCATCTTCGACTCCCGGACGCTTGAAGTGTCGGATCTCCGGGTCTCACTGGGAATCGGCAGCTGGAAGCGCTCCGACCGGACCTTCGTCAAGAACTGCATCGTGGAGGAGATACCCCGAAATAAGCCCTCTATACGCCCTCTCAACCCGAAACTTCGAGCCCCAAGCCCAAAACTGAAACCCTCTATAAAACCCTAAACCCAAAAGCTTATAATGTTGCTGGAGGACATCTGGCCTGGCGTCAGCAGCTGGCTTAAAGCCTGGTCTCAAGGGCAGGCCAGCGTCGTGCCTCCGCCCATCGTGCTCTTCAGGTGGGCCTGTCGTTTAACGCGAGTAGAGTCCTTCCTTAGAGATGATAGTAGTCTTAATGAACGTCGTATACCCCCGAATGTGCCAGATTTAGGCTTTGGGGTGTCTTTAGGTTGATTTCCCTTATGCGGGCCCATTTCAGTACCCCCATAATCGTCGGGGGGAAGTAGGACTCCTCGATGGGAACTCCCAGATACCGGGCGTCCGTGACATCAGAAGGGAGAGCTCGAGGAGGGATCCTAATTTGATAGACTATAATGGTTTGATAAGGATCTGTGTCACTGTGTGCGATAGATCCCCTGCCCCTATAAACCCTACTCTACTCGTCAAGGCCCTTTTAGTAGACCTTAAACCCGACACCCCCTAAAAAAAAATTGCTCCGCAAAGGAAGCCTTAAGCGTTAAAGGAGCCTTGTTCTATAGACAGCAGGATCACATCATTGTGCCACCGCAAATCCCGACGCCCTTAAGGACCTGTCTGAATCGAAAGAACCCTTTAAGAAAGAGAGTAAAGAAACCCATGTGAGATCCCATAAATATATACATATATACATATATGTATATCTATGTATATATATATATGTGTATATACATACATACATACATACATATACATATACATATACATATACATTTACATATACATTTACATTTACATTTACATTTACATTTACATTTACATTTACATTTACATATATATATATATGTATATATATATATATATACATCTGCACAACCCTACAGTAGGGCCCCATTGTTTTACTACTGTTTCGACCCTAACCCTGAGCCGAACCTTACCAAAGCTGTCGTAGCCGCCTGAACCCAACCCTTCGAAGGAGCCCTCGAAGAAACCTGTCAAATATAGGGCATTTACTTTAATTATTACAACTATTCTTTTGGGGGCTCCTTAGTAAAATTTCTAGTATAATATACCCCAAAACCCTAGTTCTCACTATTAAGTCTTCTACATTCCTAGACCCCCCAACTACCCTCTACTATCCCTTAAATCCGCACTCTTAAGGACCCTAAGGGCTCTAGTTAAAGGGCCATTTAGGGGGGGGCTCCTGGTTCAGCCAGCCCGAAGGTTCCCGCAGCTCTTCTGCCTGCGCAACGTGCTGGCGGCAAGACAGGCCGACCTGAAGATCCTCCGCGGCGCGGAGGGTCGGCCGACCGGGGAGGTGGCTGGGAGTTTTTGTTGTTTTCCCCCCATGGTTCTGTAGAAGTCTTTGTTTTAAAGAGGGTGCCATCATGTTTTGGGAATTTCTGGAAGGGCTTCATAATGAGGGGACCATGCGTTTTTCCTTAGGGGCTCCAGACAGACTAGAAGAAGGGTGCTGGAGGGTGATATCATGGGCGGTAGAGGTGCACTAATTATGTTGAGCGTGATGTGGATGAGTTAAGGGCTCCGTGATAAATGAAGAGTGCTGCAGCATGACGCACTGTTCCGCGCGAGCTCTATGAAACGCGTGCTTTAGGGCGTAAAAAGGTAGACTTAGAAGTGTTCGATTATAAGCTTTTGTTCGGTCTGGACTAGAAGGGGATAGTTGATTGAAGGCTTTGTGTCCTTCCAAGAATCAGGGAACCCTAACATCGAACGAGCCTGAAGGTCTGTCTTCGACTTCGGAACATCCGGCTTCGCACGATGTCTCCTCCCGGTCGGAAGCCCAAGCGGCGGTCCTCGTCCCCGTCCCTCGCCGGCGAGAGCTGGTGCAGCACGGGGGCCGCGATCCTCTCGCCTCCCCACAGGAAGTCCAAGGCAAATCTCGGCAAGGCTTCTCGGGAAGCTTGAGCTGAAGGTCATATATTTCACGTAAGATACTGCTGTAATGCACATATAGTATACCATGTGTGATAGCTACGTATGTGGTACTATATCCTTGGACTAAAACTTTAGGCAGGAAACCCTTCTGAGAAGTGTCCTGCCCAGACCTCATCCGCACTACAGAGGTGCAAACGAAATCTATGCTTTCCTTTCGGAGACGCTCCCAGCATCAGAGGTAAGTGGGTTTTAGGGTAGTCAGAGTCAGATGTCTCCACAAGCGCGCTTCGCTTGAAGTGAAAAGCTCGTTGAATCTTTTGTCCTCTTCTTACCTTTGGTTAGTAGGGAATGGAGGAATGGGTACAAGTATAACTACTATTACTACCATTCTTCCATTCCCTACTAACCAAAGGTAAGCTGTGTCCTCCCGGCTGCGACAGCATCGGCCTGTTGCACTGGTACCTCACTGAGATGCGATGCGCGGGAAAAGCGGAGGTGACAGCGTTGCTCCAATCATTTCTCTGGCCCTTGAATCCCTCACCCAAAACTCCAAAACTCAGTAAAATAATTATTACACTCAACAACCGCAAACCCTAAGCCCTTCAAAGCCGTAAATTCACAAACCATAAGTCCTGGCCAGCCGGCCAGCAGCCCGAAGCCACCATCGGAAAGCAAGACCCTCGCATCAGCAGTTGATTGAGTTTCAGGTTTCGCGTGTTGGATTTGTTTTTCGGTCAGGGTTGTTTATGTTTACGCCTCATGGTTAAGAGCGCGGGTGCTGGGGATTCAGAGAATTCGTGATTGCAGTGTCTGGTGGGAGCCTTCGGTTCTAAATCGACCGTTCTTGCCCCCAGGTCTATGGTTAAATCGGGTATTGTTTTTCGACTCAACCTGTTGAAGGCCGTGTTCCGGATGACCACAGCACCAAAGAACCCAAGTTCAAGACACACGTGAAGTCTCGCCCCAAACCCACCTGGCCCAGGCTTGCCAATGCCGAGAAGCAGTGAAGCGTTGACAAGCTGGCTTGGGGAGCACGGAAGAAATCAGAAGCAGCAGTGCAGCCGACGAGCCCTGTGCAAGAGATGATGAGAATGACACAGTCACCTTATCTTGTACTTACCATCATAATCTAGTCGTGGCCATGATTACAAAAACAGGTCTTGAAAGCTTCAAGCGAGCGAGGAGCAGAGCAGTCGGAGCAGTCGAAAGTCTGATGACCTGCGACACTTCAAAAGCGCGCGTGTCCTTCTCTGCAGCCAACCGTCCAAGCGGCGCGAGGACACCAGTTCAACACTCTCCCATACGGTCCACCATGACTTCTCTTCAACAAGCACTCCAGACGGTTCTGAGTTGGACAGCACAGGGGTCAGCAGGCAGAGGGCCTTGGTCCCTCCAAGCACAGCCCGACTGGCCTTGATTCCGAAGCACAGAGCGCCAAGCCGGTAGTCCCAAGAAAGCGAGCCAAACCAATCATGGGGTTTTGGCGCCGACCGCAACGCCATGGCCGATGGGGAGGCCACGACTGGGGATTTGCTGGCGCTGCCTCCTTGCCAATCATGTGAAAAGGTCGACTTTCGAATGGCCTAGCAATCCAGGGCTTTGTGTTTCCATCCGTTTCAAAGGCACCCGATGGATGCAGATGAACTATTCGGGAAGCTTCGTCACAACGAGTCAACAATGCGGCCTCCCCACGCACTTGTCAGTTGGGGTTGTCACATCGCCCCTGAAGCCAGTGGATTAGGTATTCAGCGGCCTGCACACAACGGACCGCTGCACGGTCTCTGGCGCTCGTAGCCTCATCTACAGCAGTCTCAGCATGTACTTTGAATTATCAGCGTGTGTAATTCACCCGCCCAATCCACCCAACACAGTGCTTTCATGGGCTGGCTTAAAGTGATTCAAATGAAGATACCACTGGTAAGGTATATGTTCCTGCATGCCATTTTCTCTGTGACTAGGCTGACCCGGCATGGGTTCGCCCTTTGAAGCCGCCCGGCGAAAGCGTTGCTAATTAAAGCCTTTGGGTCTGGAGTCTGGAGTTTCTGCGTTTCGGCTCTGAGTGCTATCTTTAGGTTCGTTGAACGCCGATCGAGGGGCGCGAATCATTAGGTTTGCGAGTATCAGTGAGTACTGCTTTGCCGCCTAAGGCTCCATGTGGCGGTGGATGCTTTCTCCCCCGGCGCGGCACATCGCGCCATGGATTCATGCAGGGAGCCGCACATCGGCCAGCAACCAGAACACTGTTTTTTATCAGGCACCGAACAGTTACCGGCGTGAAAGAGTGGAATTGTGAAGGGCTTGCCTAAATAGCCCGAAGACCGGGAGTGTGGACGTGGTTGCTGAGTCTGAGGCTGGGTCTCGACACCCTCGCGCGTGTTCTGCCAGCCGCTTGCCTGCAGTTCTTCCGGGCATCATCTTATCCAAGCTGGGATTGCAAAGCCCACCAATTACTCTAAACTAGCCACTCAACCGTTTCAACCCAAGACAACCCTCAATCCTAAAGCTGCAAGTGACAAACTCCTCAGCAGCTGAGGCCGTGCTCAAGCAGCCACAACTGAAGGCCCAGCACCGGGCCTCCCTGGCGATGCGGCTGAGGTCCCGTTTGGCTCTAGGGTGGGGTCTCGGGAGATAGGGTTCAGTGTAACTAGAGGATTCGCCGTTGGAGCATGTGACGTGTGCCTGCGCTTTTAATGGTATGTTTACTGTTGTTCAGGCTTCAATAGAGGCTCAAAGGGGGCTGAGCCAAATGCGCAGATTGCCATCAATCCGGATGCCGTGCGATTCCTTGAACTCAGCTGTTGAGAGGCGGCTCCTGCATGAATGCATTTCCATCGGCACCTCGGCTTCAGCGGACTCCAAGCAACCTCGATCGGAGCTTCGGATTTCTGACTGTTCCAGGGGTGGCGCGCGGGCTGTGTGGAGTTTGGGGTCGCTCCGGTGTTACGTGCCGGATTGGACCCTTGATGCGCTTTTATAAACGCATCGGTACTTCGTTCACGGGCGTGGTCGAAGGTGACGCTTCGGCACTTCAAGCTTGGGATGCTGCCCTCGCAGCATCTGCGGCCACAGCCACAGCAGCCCGGCAAACGCTGACGTCCTCATTTTCTACAAATTTTGTCATGGAGTTGGGTCCATCCGAGAGCTTGGGAGCTTGGGTTGAAGGGGCTTCCGGTCCTGGGTCTGGTCAGTGCCGCGGCTTGGCGTGATGGACGTGCACCTAATTACGTAGAGACGTGCATGTCGGGCAAAACGTCTGTGTGCATATATACATTATAGATGCATGCATGCACATCCGTACACATATCGGCACTTGCTTGCCGTAGTATACAGGACTCCACGAACGAGCAGCCAGCCCAGCCAAATAAGGTGCAGCCCAGCGCGGGCATTGCAGAAGGTGGGAGCCACAAACACTCCACAGGAGTTGTTGGACAATTGTTTTTTTCAAAGTTTTGGGTGCCAGGTTTATATAGAGCCGGCTCTTCAACGAATTCTTCGGAGCACAGTACAAAGAGCCTTGGTGCCGCGTAGACTCCAGAACTAGCGCGTTCTCTCGACTTCCACCGGCTGCATGCAAGCCCTCGGTGGCCCTTTGCACGGTTGAGCGCAGCAACAGTATCTGGCGACCGCCGGAGCGTGCTGCCCTGTTTAGATGTGGCCATACCTGCAAGAGCCCTAGCCTCGCACCCTTTGTCACGGCTCAAATGCCATATTAATATGCCTTCAGGCTGCAAATTAACGGACAAACCGCTGCAATCTTGCCCCAAGCAACCATCGCACTCTCGACCGCCCTACTATGCCCAGGGCTCATGGTGAAATGCTCTTCATAGTCGTGTTTCAAAGCGAGAATGCCATGGCTACTATGAGTATGTCCATTGTTGCGAAAATTGTCTTGGTTATGCTGCTAAGACCGCTTAGCTACCAAGTCCTCGAGCGACTAAGTGCCTGAAATACAGTGCCACAATTCCAAGAGATGTAGGAGATCACCCGGGTGAGGTTACTTGAGAATTTCACGTATACCCAGTACCTGAAGCTCCCGCTGAAGTCACTTGAGAAGGTTTCATAAAGATCTGAACAGCACCCATAAACCCCTAAGACCAAGACCCTTAGACCCTCAATCCTTATAGTTCGTGCACAAGCAAAATCCCCAGTTTCAAGCGGTTGATAGAACTCCTACAACCCTCACATCAACAAGAAACCTTAACACCGGAAAACGTACAACCAAAGCCCCTTTTTTGTTCAGCCCTCCGCCCGGCGTAAGAAGACCGTTCTATACCCTGAATCCTGAATCTTAAACCCATAGCCCCTGTGAGAGGCCACAGCGCTTGGTGCCCCGTCCTCGGCTTCCTGGCTTTCCTGGAGGCTGCCGACTTGACGTTTCTTCACTTGCCAACCTCTTTCCGACAAGAAAGGGGTCCAAAGCTGGCTCAACCCCGAAGCGTTTGCTCGAATACGAAACCCTATAAAGACCCAAATGCCCTTGAGAGCACCCCCTCAGCTTCCATGAACTTCTTGGAGTTACGGAAACGTCCAGCTCCACGAATCCTCCAAGGATTGTTGGAGAAGCTGGTTGCGGTGTCCTACCACGTACTTCCCGACACGCTAAGGTTAAACGCGTGCAATGATATACAGCAGCGAAAGTCCATGAGTTGGTCATTCGGGAATGCATGATTCTTGCGAAAAATACCCGAAGAACCCGTAAAGTTAATCCAACTGTTGGGTACCGCAGAAGGTGGAATGCTAAACCCAAGATAATTTAACCTACAGTCGGACATGGGAGACATGATAGTCCTAGAAGGTTATTCAAAGGCCCAGAGATGTTCAGAGCAACCCAACAATTCTCGCCGAATGGGTATGACACACCGAAGAATAATGCTAAGGTTGACAACTACCAACAACAATTGACGAAACCACTCCGGCTTTTATTCCTTAAGTATGCACTACATCCCAAACCCGATACCTCCATGGGCAGGTGCTGGAGTCGGGACTGCCTGTCCGGACCCCGAGGGCTCTGAAACGGACTTCCTGTTGTTTTGGGATAGTTCATGAACTTTGGCTCCGGGCTTCAGATTGCAGGGGTCTCATACCCTTAGCCCCAAAGCTGACTGAAAGGCGAACCCGGGGACGGAGGCCCATTCCAGACTCTTTGATATTCACTTGGCTGGCGCTTGGAGGGCTGTGCGGGCTTACTCTTCACTCTCTTCCAAATTGTGATGTTTACGGTCTGTTGGAGGCGCAAACCTAAAGTAAAGCCATACTCCTGAAGCGTACCTTCTTGCCCAGCCCCCTAGTTTGAGTTGGCAAGCTGCATAAAGATGCACGATACTTCCAGCTTCAACGACCGATGCGTTCTAAATAATGAGAGTTCTCATGAAAGGACAGGCGCGTATGTATTCACAGCCCACACTGTAAGTAGCTGTACATGTAGTTGGATTCGAAACTGCCTTGAGAACGTTGACTGTCGTGGTAGCTTGTCTTCCTGAATTGCTTTTTCTGCTTCCTTATCCTTCAAGCTGTATTCACCCTGTCGCAGGCCAACACCCTGAACCTGAAAGCCGAAACCAAAAAAGCCTGAACCTTATAAGCTCGAAACCCTAAGGCCCTAAGCCCTCGAAACCCAAGCCCTCCTTTCTCGAGCCCTCCCAAGCCCTCGGCACCTTGGCCCAGAGCCCATGCCCCATGCCCGAAGGCCCGCCGGCCCTGAAACCCCACAAAAGAAACGCATAATAAGGCCTTACAAAGCTCTAAACACGTGATAGAGGCCTTAAAAGACCCTGTCGTCTTCTTGAGGCCGTAAGCCGCAGCTTCGCGCGGCTATCTTTCAGCGCCGCCACGTGGGTGACCTGGGTTTCGGGTATTTTTTGGGACCTAGATGTCGGAAGGAGCTCCGGCTTAGGGGGGTTTAGGGGGTGTTCCTGGGAATTTTGGTGCAGTCAGTCGGTTTGAAGAGGTTCCCATTGGGAGGGGGACATCGCGTGGTGTCGGCGTTTCTGGATCTGAGCTTGTGGTAGGTAAGCTTGTTCTGTCCGGGATAAGTATACTCAAGGGGCCTGAATGGTTACCTGTACTATTTTGGGGGTTCCTGAGTATAATTACAGTATAATCTATCCCAAAACCCTAGACTATTTATTAAGGCCCCTACAGTTTTCGCGAAAATTATCCAAAAGGCTGACCTTGAGACCCCCCAGGAATGTGGACAAGCACTGTAGGGCTTTGACTCTGAGAGCCCGCGGGGTTGCAGACTGGATCCGGCGTCCGATTGCGATTCCTAATACGAGTTGCTGTCGATTGCGATTCCTAATACGAGTTGCTGTTATAGTCCTTTGTTGAAGGCCTACGCGATAGATAGATAGATAGATATATAAAAAAATTAAGGCCCCCTGAGTTACTTGTTTCTGCCTCGCCGCAGTTTGTACAGTCAAGCCTTGAGCAGTCAGAGAACTGCTCACTGCTCTTTCTGAGGGTTTCCGGTGCTTTCTGTGCATGGTGCGGCTTCTGAGCTTAGTCGTCGTCTTCGGCGTGACCGCTGCAAGCAACATCAAGGTGACAGCTTTGGCTTTGGTCTGTTGTGAGACCTTGCGTATTTCCGGGCAGAGTCTTGATTTAGGGGGGGGGAGTTGAGAAGGTTGTACAGCGGTGCAGGGGTGCGCATGTTGGCTCGCAACGTCGCAAGCTCTTTGGCCTGTATTGCTTCTGCATAACTATAGATAGGTGGAATAATGTCGGAGCGCCTTAGAGAGCTTCAAGAGCATGAACGCATCGTAAGAGATCAATATGAAAGCCGTCCTTTCACATTCAGAAAGGTGGCGTCGAACGACTATGCCTTTACTCTGGTGAACCTCCTCACGGGCAAGGGAGCCTGTTGGGGTGACGCCGGCTTCGGTGGGAACTGCACTTCGGTGGACTTCTCCGACGTGCAGCAGGTGCGGCGGGAGTGTCACACACCAGGGGGCTTGGTGCTTGACAGTCGGCAACATAGAAGAAACATGATCATGGAGAAGGGCTGCGCCTGATCCGTCATCTGCATAGAGCAGCACCGACGATATGGGATCCAGTAGGTTTCCATCTTCGACAAGGGGTCAAGAGGGCTGTCATCTTCTGTTGGTGGAAGGTGGAAGCCAATGCCTTCGCTTTCCTTGCGCTCAGCAGTGCCGGCGGCGAGTGCTGGGGAAAAGACGACAATGGAGGCAAGGGATCGTTCTTAACATCGGTCAATACTGCATGTTAACTTGCACGGCACTTCGTGACAGTTTCGTTGCACACAACATGTGTGTTAAGTAGAACTGCATCTGGTCACGGCTGTATTGCGTCCAAGCGCGCTTGTCTGAAAAGTGGCACCGCAGTTTGTGCCGGTCTCGTTTCGGCCTGCAGATTTTCAGTTGTGATGATCGGCACATCGGGTTCCGTTTGCATCGACGTTTGGTTGCGCCCTTTGCAGGAAGATCTTCAGTGCTCGTGTATGCCTCGTCTCGCGTGGTTGCCCTGCCTCCATAGCCGCAGTTCCTCCATGTCCACATCGACTTCTTTTCTGGGCCTGTCAGGCTTGTGGGTAGTTCTCTAAATTAGGGTCCCTTTTTAGGTCCCCGGCCCAGTATAGTACGGCACCCTTATAAAAAGGGCCCTAAAAGGGACCCTAATTTAGAAAACTACCCTTGTAATCACGTCCCTCAAGGGCTCGGCCTGGAAAGCATTGAGAACCACAGTAATGGTCCCCATCACCGCGGACGAACACACAAACGTGGCAACATATAGCCAGAACTGTCATTATGGTCGTGACAGCAGCGGTGGGAACCGACAAAGGCACCGATAACAATGCTGCGAGGAGCAGCAACGATGGCAAGCAGGATGGCAATACTAGTCAAAGCCAACCCTAAACCGAAACTGTGAACGGTGCCCACCTGATGGGCTCAAGTAAAGCCATAAAGCCCCTAAATCCCTAGCCCTGAAACCCGCTAATCCTGAACACCCAAAACCCCCGTTGCTCTCAACTGGGCGAGGCGACTGCTCCGGCTTGGACCTCGCGGGAATGACCGAAGTCGCGACCACGGACTACAGCTTTGCTGCGCTGGATCCGGTGAACGGCCGAGGCGAGTTGAGCGCTGCGGTTTTAGGATCCAGGATTTGGTGTGCAGTGCAGGGCGTGCTTCAAGGGTTTGGGGAAGGCGGTGTGTTGGATTTTGTTGGGAAATGTCGACGGGATGCGAGCTCCCCAGTTTTGGAAGCACGGCCACTCCGCCAGCGCCTTTAACCAGCCCAGTAAGCCGAGAACTTTGAGGACTGTGCTTCGGCTCGTCGGCATATGGTGGCGAGTGCGGCGGAGTGGACTTCTCGCAGGTCAGCAAGATCTACGGGAATCTCTTGGCCTTTGCAACTTGGCAGACCAATTCTTGTGGTTTCGTCCTGACTCTGTTCGTACAGCACGTTCTCGCATATCCGATGGCTTAGGCCTAGGCTCGAGAGTCGAGTTTCCTACCGGTTGCCACTGTGTTGTTTCCGGGTGGCCACTGCAGCCACCCACGCAGCAAGCACAACGCCGCGTCCCCCCAAAAAAGAAAGGATCTATAGATATCTTGCAGGTCTCATTCAACGCCCTGCTGCCAGCATTAGTAACACAGGTGGCGATTGGCGGCAACGCGGGACAGTGTTGGGGTCACAGCTCCTTTGGCGGAGACTGCAGCACGGTTGACTTCACTGGCGTCACCGAGGTGCGGCTGCTTCAGGATGAGGGATGTACTGAACCCGGGTCTCTGTATGTATGATCTGTATGTGTATGTTACATAGGTGTATCTATATATATATATATGTGTATATGTATAATTATGTGTATATATATATATATATGTATACATGTAAGGGCTGCGACCGACTCGGATGCTTCGCCCGAAAGCCGCGATATGCATGTATGTACAACGGATCTGCATGCCAGTTTGGGGCCACAAGCCTTTAATCCGCGGGGTACCTGGCATCTCGCCCCAGGTGGTGGCGGGAGACTATGCATTTGTGGCCTTGAACAAAGCTGCGGGCACCATCCGATGCTGGGGCTTTGGCCTGTATGGAGGCGTTGGGGGACGGTTTCGATTTCGGGTTTAAAAAGTATCGCCGTAGGCCGTAGGCCTTCTTCATCGTAGTTCATGTTCGATCGGCTGATAGGCTGCTATGCAGGAATCTTGGGGTGATCACTTGTGCGACCTCTGCCAAAGGCGATTGCAGTGCCGTCACTCTGACGGGCATCACAGACGTGTACACCAACGGCCAGGCCTTCTTGGCATTGAACCGCAACAGCGGTCAGGGCGAGCCACTCGCCTTTCTCCGAGAGGAGTTTCGCAAAGTGTTGGCCTTGCGTGGTGTCTCCTTTGCTCCGCCTGGCGTCGCCTGGGGTGATTCAAAAGCACTGGCGCATCACATCCGATTCATTATGGGTGTAGCTGTGTAACTCCAAAGACGCGAGTTCTCACCAGCCTAAGCGGAAGCTCGAGCCTGCTAAACCCTAAGTCACAAACCCCAAGCCTGATAGCATATCATAACCTCCATGGGCCCTAACCAGCAAGGTGTTGGGGTAACGGCCAAGCCGGCGGCGACTGCAGCAGCATCGACTTCACGGGCGAGGCGCGCGGATTAAATACCTCATGAAGTACAGGGGCCAGCCTGCATGGTTAGTTCATGTAAGGGGTCTGGAGAGTGTTATAGGGGTTGTAGTTGGCTTTTGATAAGGGTTTTCGATGGGTTTTTTGGGATAGCTAGCAGTATTATACGGTTCCTTACTATGTGTAGAATATACTCAAAGCCCTTCTCGAACTGATTTAGGACTCCTATATTAGGCAAGACTCCTCCAGAATCAACCCTAGTCGCCCTAATCCTGTGATGTCGCTTCAAGGTGCAAATCTTCTCCACCAACTCTGCTTTCCTTGCTCTCAAGAGTGGGAGCGGTCAATGCTGGGGCAACCCAGATAACGGAGGCGACTGCAGCAATGCCGCTCGAATCCAACACATCTTGCCACATCGCAGTTGGGGCAGGGTAAAGGAACAGCAGGGCAGGAGCATGGGGCAGCCGGTGTCTGGGGGAATAGGGAGGGTTAAATTTTGCGATCCGGTGTTTCATAGAAATTGCCATCTCAAGTCTCAAACTGAGGTCTTCTTTACCAGCAATTCCCGGATCTACCACACCAGTGCAGCCTTCGTGGCCTTGGATGCTGTGAACGGCCTTGCGCGGTGCTGGGGCCATGCGTCTTTCGGAGGTGGCATGTCAGAGTGCATACTTGGGGGCATCGCGGGCTGCGATGCAAAATAGTAAAGTCCACGTCGAAAGGCTTGCTCCTTGTTTCTCAAGTACCTTAGTCCCTCTCGAGCGGTTTGCTCTTGTTTCTCAAAATGCTCAAGTCTATTTCGAGCAGTTTGCTTTCAGTTTCTCAACTACTCTAGTCCTTTTCGAACGGCGTGCTTTTGTTGTTCAACGGCTTGATGTTGTTATTCAAAATACACTAGTCCCTTTCGAGCGGTTTGCCAAACACTCTGCTCCACTTTCTCAGGATGCTCCCGTCGCTTTCGAACAGCTTGCTCCCTGTTTCGCAAGTGCCCTAGTCCCTTTCGAGCAGTGCGCTCCCTGTTCAGCTGCGGTTTGAGGGTCAAAAGCACTTCAAGCCAGGGCCTAGGTTGCTTTGTTTACGCTCCCTGTCTGTGCAAATACTCTAGTCCCTTTCGACAGGTTTGCTCCTGCTTTTAACCCTGCTCCTCAAGACACTCTAGTGCCTTTCGAGCGGTCCTCTCCATGCTTCTTAAATACTCTAGTCCCTGTGGAGCGGTTTGCTGCCTGTTTCTGAAAAGGACTTTAGTCCCT